TGCAGAGGCCGAGTCTCTTCATTTGTTGTTGTTTGCGTCCCAAATATAAATATGTATGTTTGTTGGTGTTGATTTGTTTATAATGGACGCTGTGGACCGGTACTCGCAGGAGAAAGTGTCATTAATGTGTAATTAAAGTGGATATCTGGTTTACTTGTGTCCGAAACTGTGGAGTCAGTATATGTGGCGGTTTCTCTTATTTACAATGTTAGTTATTTTTCTAAAAAACAAGGCAATTATGTGTCATCTTTATCAAGAGGGGAAATTAGTTTTGCATTAAACATAAAATAAAACAATTATATTGTTAAAAACATGCTAAAAAACCTACCCCACACACAAGCTACTGTTAGTTTTATATATATATATGTATAATATTTTATATTTTTATCTTTTACTTTATTTTTATTTTATTCTTTAGGTGTATAGTTCTCTTTAATTTTAGTTTAATGTATGTTTTGTATCTTGTATGCTACTGGATACTTGAATTTCTCTCAGGATAAATAAAGTATCTATCTATCTATCTATCTATCTATCTATCTCTACACAAGCAGCACTAAACATGCTCAGTGACCATCTATTGTAACACTTTTTATCCTGCATATTTAGATTTTTATGATCGGTTATCAATGATCCACCAGTATTTCCTGTAATAACCTGCTGTTTTTGGCTTTTAATCCATATTTAAATGAAGTTAAACTTACGTTTGTTTTTTGGGACACACACAAACTACCATCATGTTTTATGCATGACCTGAAATGTTTCCCTCTCTACACTAAGATTTAGCTACGAGGAAAAACTTTAAGTTAAAGTTTAAATGTAATGTCCCAAATTCCAGTGCTGCTGTATAACTGCAGCTCAGTAACTCATATCCTCTCAAAACAAATAATAATTATGGCAAAACCTACTCAAGTGAAGGTCAAATAACAGTACAAGTTCATGACAAAGCCACTCACGTGTGGTTTTTGTGTTTGCAGATGGCAGCTGACTCCACAGACAAGAAGGATGCTGAATCTTCAGGGACCAAAGACCGAGAGAGGAAAAGCAGCCGGTCACGAGAGCGCGAACGTAAACCCTCACCTGCACGCAAACGCCATCGCTCTCGTGAACGAAATCGCTCTAAATCTGCTGAACGGTAACGTAAAAGTGCAACGGGCACCGACACACCTTTAACAGTAGAGTTCTAATGGATCTGACTTCTGTGTACTTTCATAGTCACATAGCATCTGTCCTATTGGTGTTATGTTTATTTATCTCCATAACTTAGCTTCCGTTTGTCTGATGTTAAAATGTCACAATACATTAAACGTTGTATTTGTGTTATAATGACAGAGACCGACGCATGAAAGACAAGGATAGAGACAAGGAACGTGACCGAGATAAGGACAGAGAGAGGGGCCGGAAGGACAGAGATGGCCATCGACGTGATAAAGACCGCAGCAAGAGGTCCAGGTATGGGAATGCAGAAATATACACTTTTGTGAGATGGAGACGGATCACATGACATTTATGTTGTGTTCATGCCCTGTCTGAGTTATTGTAATTAGTAGTTTCTAATGATCTAAACGTTCACGCCAATGTCCAAGTTCAAGATCACTGTGAAACCGACCGCTCTGATTTATGTGACTTGGTGCTTAATAATGCAGAATTTCCTGTGAACCAAACAAACATTTATACCAAAGTCGTTCTGGTGACATGAACACTTGGGAGTCATAAACATGGGAATCTTTCCCATCCATCCTCTTTGACATGAATAATGTGTTACTCCACATAACACCAAGAAGACCAACTGCCTGTAGTGAGTTTTTAGATGCACTTTCATGCAAAAAAAAAGTTTAATTCTCTTGAGCAACAGCTGCAAAATAGTCAAATGGTCAAATTTCATCACATTCACTACAAAAATAAATGATAACATAACTGCTGTCAGAAAGCCAGTTGGGGTTAATTCACTATGATGCTGCACTTCCTCCATTTGTTGCTGTTTTATTGTTAAACATGGGAATATTTTGACGTGCGCTTGAATAGAGGAACTGTCCCTAAAACATTACAAATATAATTATTATGTGTTGCATTAAAAATTGCATTTTAATAAGTGTTTATATAAGATGCTTCTTTTTACTTTTTCTTTTAAATTGGGTAAAATAAACAATGAATGAGGTTGATTACACCTGTGTGAATTCAGTCCGTCTCTTTCCTTTTATAGAAGTCTGTCACCCAAATCTAAGGATGCCAAATTAAAGAGAGACAGGGACATAAAAACAGAAGAGGAGGAAGATGAGAAAAAGAAGAAAGAGAAGGTAAGAATCTGGTTCGGTTGAATCTTTCTCATCATCAAATTCTTTCTCAGGTTGTTATTTTGGGTGTTTGAACTGTGTCGTCTCTGTTCAGGTTCAACCGTTGTCTCTGGAAGAGCTTCTCGCCAAGAAGAAGGCAGAAGAGGAAGCGGAGGCAAAGGTGAGACGTTTCGAAGTTCACATTTTCTGCAACTTTTTCTCAAAGATTACTATTTTTCCTCACTATGTTTTTATTTTTTGTCCTTTTCAGCCCAAGTTCCTCTCCAAGGCAGAGCGAGAGGCCGAGGCTATAAAACGGAGGGAGCAACAGACGGAGGAAAGGAGGAGGTTGTTGGAAGAGGAGAGGAAGAAAAGAAGGATGTTCCAGGACATGGGGAGAAAAATGTTGGGTGTGTATCAGCCTCCAGTTCATTCATTTTTTTTTTTTTTCTGCCGTTATAGAAACGTAATGATCCTAACTGAGAGTGTGTTTACAGAGGATCCCCAGGAACGGGAGAGACGAGAGCGAAGAGAGCGAATGGAGCGGGAGAACAACGGGAATGAAGATGATGATGGACGACAAAAGCTCAGAGAGGAGAAAGATAAAAGCAAGGAACTCCACGCCATCAAGGTTAGTCTCAAGAGAAACGGAACTTCTGTGTGGAGCCGATTAAAACGTGGTTGTGACCATCGATGTTAAATGTTCGTACGTATTTATTTATATTAATTATTATTAAGTCCCATTTGGACTGGATTTATGCCGTCTGAAGTCTGTATTTATTTCATCCCTATTGTAGTAATAATTTCAGCCATAATTACCAACTGTTTTTCACCAAACTCATTGATCCTCCGGTAGTTTAAATTCCATCCAGAGTGACGTCCTTTAAAGTGAATCTCTAAGGTTTTCCAGGGGAAATTGGACTTTTATGAGAAAATTAGGGAATTTAAAAATGTTTATTTAGATCCAATTGATGGAAACACGACCAACTCATAAAATGTGCAGTTGTTGTAATGTCAGCCACAGGACTGGTATTCTCTTCGGGCTCACTGTCGATGTCTATTAGACACCCTGTAATTTCATGATGGTTAAAATGCCACTAAAACGTTGAAATGATGTAATTTACCACAATACTTATCTGATCTTTACAGGAGCGTTACCTCGGTGGGCTCAAAAAACGCCGGAGAACTCGTCACTTGAATGACAGGAAGTTTGTGTTTGAGTGGGACGCTTCTGAAGACACTTCAGTCGACTACAACCCGATGTGAGTCAACACGTCGCTCTTTAATCGAAGCAGGTCTTTGATTTGTAAGAATGTGTAAAAGTCTCAACAGTATGATGTTCTCCATCCGTCTCCCAGTTACAAAGAAAAGCATCATGTGCAGCTGTACGGACGAGGCTTCATCGCTGGCATCGACTTGAAGCAGCAGAAAAGAGAGCAGTCACGTTTCTATGGTGACCTGATGGAGAAAAGGCGAACGCTGGAAGAGAAGGAGCAGGAGGAGTGAGTAAAACATAGAAACTCAGTTTGTTTGTGGCTTGAAGGAGCAAACTTGATCCACAAAGTAAAGCTGAATGTTTATTAAATAAAACAGGTAGAAAATAAGTGACTCGACAACGTACTGACAGTTACTGCTTCACTTTCCCTCTATC